TTACGAGGAACACAGAAACTTAATTTGAAATTGTACACTGCATCCAAGGAAAGAGTCACTAAGCACTTGAGTATGGTGAACCCCACAGCAACTGTGTCCTTGTACAATCAAAGACTAGGAGGCTGCACAGTTAAGCTTGTACTATACCAAAGAACTAAGGAGTAGTTGCTTACCTGTAACTTCTTACAGCTTTACGCTGACCTGGATTTATCTAACAATGTTTAAGCAAATCTTAAACATATCTGTTTAATACATTTCTCCTTACTGCACGATCAAAGTAGGTCTGCTGTTATTCCAGCTCAGGGAGTTTGTCACATTAATGCAACAAAATATATTCTTTGGGAATACATGCTTTTCCTCAGGAAGGCATTTCTGCCACAACGAGCTGCATAATTTAAAAGCAACAGAAGTCTTTGGTGTGGGATGAAGTATCTGAGTATAACCATCAACTACATAGTTAGTTGATACTTATTGCCAACATTGAGTTATGTTAAATCAAAAATAAGTGATAAAACAGTACTGTAGATTTCATTGTAAATGTTTAATTGACAACAGAAACCACAGAGAAGAAGCAGCTGATAAAGGAGAAGTATTGTGGAGCACGATTTAGGCAATGCTACATGGAAGAAGTTCTAAATAAAGCAAAGCATGCTTGCCTACTTCTGATCATATTTTAACCACTAAGAGGAGTAACCTTCTAGAGGCATCTTTACCTTGCATCAATCATTAAAACTCCAAACCACATTACAACTCTAAATTGCAACACATATCAGTACTGGTGTTCCTTCTTCCTCTGAAAAATACAAACACCAATTACAATAGCAAGTGTTAAAGAGCAACACAGCCAAAGCAGGCTATAGTGTCAACAGCCATTGTGCAATGCACTGCTTTGGTTCAACATCTGTTTGTCCCTCAAACATAAGCAAACACCAAAAAACCAGTTAAAGCTAGCAGAGCAAATCAGACTGCAAATCAACTCCCTTTAGCCTGCCATAGTGCACCTTCCCACTCTGCCCTGGGCTGTTGTAGGGCTGCAGAAGGTGATACAGCTGCCTCTCATCCCTTTTAATAGCAAAAGCTATCACGTAAACTTTTAAAACCGCAGTCCTATGAGGAATACCCCTTAGACTCCTAGTGCTCAGGTAAATGAGTTAAAACCAGAACATTTTACCCTCTGTACAGCTAACCAGGGAAGTGCAGCCACGATTCTGTCTCTAACCTGCCCTACTGGGCTGGTATAAATTACTTTATCTTTGGACTTTTTATCTTTGCAGTTGGTCTGCAACTCCAGCAAAGAACAAGACCCTTTCACTACCCCAGTACCGGGCAGCTGAAGCTTGACAGAGCAGAAGGGCTTCACAGATCTTACCTCTGGCCCACCAAAGGCTGGCTTGCAGAAAAAGTATTTTGTAGCATGGCCAAAACTATTTTAAGTATGCCAAATGTGATAATTCAGAATATGTGTATTCTCCACACTCTTCACTTACGGTACATCTGAAAAGGCTTTTGCAGGAAATACATTCTCTAAGCAGAAAGAAATCTAGTACATTGCTCGTTCCTCCCTGTTCACAGATTATAAATAGAGTGCAAGCTGAGAGGCAGGGAAATACAACTGGATTGCCGTGCAGGTACAGGTAACAAAGATGGATACTCCACAGACATTTACTTTCTGGAATTACACAGAAAGAAAAAAAACAAACAAAAACAAACAAAAAAACCCCAACACAAACCTAAGTCATGCTCTTCCCAGAAACAAATGCATTTCATATGCTATAGATATTTCACTCTTAAAACAGACTGTGAAAACTGATGGACTTCGTACTTGATTTGCTTGCACTGAAAACCTGCTCTTCCTTGCTTCTTCCTGAACACTTCCTTGTACTGCAGCAAGCAGCGGCACTTTAGTCAAATACGTGACATGGCAGCTGACAGGGGTTTCTCTAAGGGAAATTCAGAGATTCTGGAATTTGTTCACATAATCTTCATCTGAGTTATGCAGAGCAATTACTTTTTTGGCTGGCCACAAGAGAGGTCAATTTGACCTAATTATGGAAAAGGCTGAGCATGAACTCCCAGGCTGGCAGGTTACAAGCTATCGCTTTCATAGAAAACATATTTAAACTATGCCAGGGTTTTAAATCATATTTATATAAATGTCATAAAAATGAAGTAAAGACTATAGACATATTTGAGTCTAAAGTAATTTCAGTTCCTTTTATTTAAAGTTACAAAATTAAAATCGTGCCCAAAATACTGTAGTGAGACAAAGCACAAATGTTCTACAGTACAGAAAGAATATTGTACAGTTTATTTTTATTTTGCCAATAAAAATTATGCAGCATTATTAACATATCCTAAATTGGTCTCCACACCATCTGCATCTGGAAGCAACATAACCTCACTGGTAAATAATATCAGTGGATAAATGGGCCTTCTCCCTTCAGGATTCAATAAAGATTTAAGGAAAACAAAGTACTTTCCACATCATTTAGTTAGCATGGACACTTGCCCTTTTTCAAAATTTAGAATTACTGAGAAGAACCTTCAGCTTTTTTCCACCCCTTATTTTGTCTGGCTATGCTTTTTTTGTTAAAAGAAAGGATGACCTATAAAAGTTTCATCTCCTTCCTAAAGTACAGATGACTAAATCAGCAAGCTATGCAAAAGCAATAAACATATTCACAATGACTAGCAAAGGAGTGATATATTATCTTCAGATACCAGTAAGAAAAAGAATCATTCCCATTCATTCGATACAGCTTTTAAAGTCAGATAAAGGTCAGATGCAGTTAAGATTTTTTTCTTCAGAGAAATTATGCAAGGCATTTTTCTTCACAAAAGCTCTGTGACAAGTAAAACTACAATAAATTCAAGCTATTCTGTATACAATTGCTCAGTCCCTTTAAATGTCATATTGAAGTCCTGCTTCCTAAAGCAGTCAGGAGAATGAAGAAAAAGACTGGATAAACACATACTTGACTTTCCAAAAAGCAGACAAGCCTTGTACTACCTGTGGGGAAGGTAGGAACTAAACAAAAAATATATGGCAAATAACTGGGAGAATCAGAGTTGGATTATGCAAATATTTGCAAATAAATGTGTTAAAAATGTTTCTATTCTTATTTACCAAGCTAGAATTTTTTCATAAGCTTTACTTATTCCATGCTTTTCTTCATTTTCCTGTATTTTAACATTAAAAAAAAACTAAACCAAAACCAAACACCAAACCAACATTCTCTAACCATATTAGGAAACTTGAATCTTCTTGAGAGTCCATCTTGTTTTGGATTACCATGTAATTTGTTTAAAACTAACCCAAAGGAATCACTTATGGCGAGATATTCTTTATGACTAAGCAACAGTCATCTGGCTTTTCTCTCCCCCTTTGTAGAGTGTTTGCAGGTAAGAGATATTTACTGGTATGAACTACACTCCTCTAATTGCCTACCCCTTCTTGAGGGAATTATTAATTAAGCAGGCACTTTGTAAACCTTATACACCATTACACGGAGACAATATCCAGGTAATGAACTGCAGAAGAATATGGTAAACCACTCTTGCGTTCACTAGCTGAACCTTTCTGGGACACCCAACCTCAATTGCCTTGCAAGTCAGCCATGGAAGCATTTTCTCCTGTTGCTAATAAGTTACACTTTTGAGACTAAACCAGCCAGTATTTAGATATGTGGCACGGGTGAATTTTCTGCACTTAGAGGACTCACGTCTTTATGTTTCTATGTGCAGCCTTATAATGTACATACAGGTCCTTCATTGCAGTGACCCAGAGACTCAGCAAGACATCTTACCACAGATAATGTTTCACTACTTCTCACCTCCTGAGCCACCACTGTGCAGTCTGCTGCTTACAACTCACAGCCTTTCCCTTACGGGCAGCTGGAGAAGGCAACAGAGGCCACGGCAGAATCACAGGCTACCTGCACACAGGCTCCAACTGCCTGCAGCTGGCTGCCACAGCCTCCCTCAGCTTCTGAGGGAACCCTGCTGTGCCCTCTAGTGACAAACCTCCAGTGACAGGAGATAGCAGGCTGTCCTGCGCTTGGGGACATCCAGGTGAGACGTGACACGCAGGGCCAGACAGCAGAAGGGCCCTTGGATGCAGGTACTGCACGTTTCTTTTTATCCCCTCCACTTTGCTCCACTCCAGATGTCTTACTGGCACTAGATGATCCTTGTAGGTCCTTTCCAACTGAACTACTCTATTAACACACAAACCAGCTACATAAGCCACCCCAACACAGTACCATATTCCTCTCGCAACTCAAGAAGATAGATTCAATACATTAAAATACATTCAGAGTACTCTGAAAATTTGAAATAATCCTGTGTTTGTTGTTGATGTTATAATTTGTTTCACAAAAGCCTGCAACTACACCCACGATCTTTGAAAACACAATGCTGTGCATTTTCCAGTCTGAAAACCCAAGTCCACATCAGATAATCTGCATGCAGTGCCTGAAATACTGGGTAGAAACTGGTAGATATGGCTTATTGCTGATCAGTAAGCTGACTTCAAACTGGTTTGCAGAAGGTAGCAGGAGCTACTTTTTGCTTGCAGAGAGTCAAACTTGGGCATCTGTACGTCTTCCTTTTGTCCTCTGAATGTTACAATTCTCAAATAAGCATGTTTTATATGCCTGCAAGCTTCTTAAAATACTGCCTGCCTCTTGGAATACTGAATTTTCCCCGTTTCTGTAGGCTCTGGTAAAAGGTGCTCAGTCTCAAGTGCTTCTAGGCAGTCTTATTCAAAGACAGGCAAAACCACAAAGAAACGCATACAGGAATGGAGAGGCCATGTGCATTTCCCAAGACACCACGCAAACATACAAAAGCATTACAGAGGGAAAAATTTACACTCTGGTACAGCAGCTATAGCGCTGCACCAGAAACCCCAGGGCCCATAGAGTGCCATGTTCATGAGCACAGACCTGGATATACAAGTCTTGGTCCCCCAAGGAAACGTAAATTTCACAATGGCATACTCAGGGAGCCACCTGACGTGTGCCCATTGACTGTTGGCACAGGAAAACGAGTGGCAAAGGCTGGTTGGCACTAGGGGGTCCACCAGATTCAGTTTGAAGCATGGCAATTGCTTCCATACACTCTCGAGGCCAGCATGCTTCTCCTGAGCCAGAAACCTGAGCATGGATGGAGGTCTCGCTGCTCAGGCACGACAGTGTTCCCGAATCCAGGAGTACAAGCCCACAGCCTGGTAAAGTATCACTCGTACTAGAATTGTTGACTTTTCACTCTGAAGTCATACACAAACCAAACACAGATTATCCTGAAAATAAAACTTGCTTCATAATTAAACTATCCCATTAGCTATGGCATACTGTGTTTTTTAAACTTCCCAGAACTACAAGATAAATGATGGGTTCTTAAATGGTCGCTTTATGTCTCTCTGGTCAAAATTACCAGTCTTTATAGTCTCCTGTTTTGTGGCATTAATAGCATATTTTTGGTTTATAAGTAACATACAATATAAAGAAACAATGTTTGATTTACTGAGATCCAGCCTAAAAAAAACACCCAACCTCCCATCATTTTATTTTAATGGTATCCAAAAATACCAAACTGACTGAAGCACAAAGGACAATGCAAATCAATAATTTAAGTACTATTAACAAACATATCAGATGCACAGAACTGAGGCCCCATTGCCAAGTGGGAACCACAACTGGATAAAAATTAACTTAAAGAAAAGCACAGAATTTATTGCCTTGTATTTGTCACCAAAATACTGTCAAGGGTATTACCCTTCAGATTCACGCCAGACAAGTAAGGTGATGTTGACTTACAATCACGTAAATCAGCAGAACTATGCTGACTTCTTCCTCTGATATATTCCTTTTTTTCAAAACCTGAAGACATGTCAAAACTGATCTTGTTCTGCTCTTGTAATCTCCTTTGCTAGAAATAAAGGTCAGTAAGACCACAACTTATAGAGTTGGGTGTGATTTCCTTTTTCAAGATAAGCATGTTATACAAGGACAAATATTGCTTTAAAGCATTACTTACAGATTGCCAAGCAAGAGACTCCATAATTTGATGCTCACAGCGTTCTAGATGCTTTATCATTTCCCTTGTTAGGCTTGTCTCCGCTTTAATAAAGCTTTCAATCACCTTGTAGAAGTCAAAAGCTTTTAAATCAAATACACTGAGAATCCAAGGGAAAGACAAGTCTGTTTCAGCACTAGTGCCATCAGTTTGTGAAGCATTTCCTGCAGGGAAAACGGGACTAAAATTATCAAGAGCACAACATTCTTTCACTTCTGATGTTTTTTCCTTTTTGTATTTATTGAAACATTGCTAGTTCAGAAATTTCAGTAAGCACTTTTTTTTTGTGCTTTACTGTATTTTATGTATTAGAACAAATGGCAGTAATTATCAATAAATAAGAATGCTATTTAGGACTTTAGATTGAACTTACTGCCATACGTAGCCATGACAACCTCAACAGCGCATGCCAGAAGAGATGTGTGGAAGATGTTATCATTCAGAAGTTTGCTAAGGAGAAAAAGAGAGTTATTAATACTTGTCTTAACACTAAAACGGCAAACTTCAATAACAAGTTAGGGGCACATACCTGAAATTCTGCACTGAGAGGCGTTCTTCCTCCTGAAATATATAAATCAAACTTGTGAATATTCTTAGTATTTGTAATGCAATGCCAGTACTATCAGTACTAAACTTACCGATTTTAGCATAGACTCCATTACTCTGTAATACAGACGTACTCCAAGTTTGTATCTCTGTTAAAAAATAAGAAATTCAAGAATATTACAAGAAGTTTTAACAGACTACAACAGGCAGAGTCTCATGTTTTAACAACTCAGAACATTCCCGTTTTTCGGAAAAGCCACTATAAAGAAGTCATCGTCCCCTGTTCTGTTTGCCAGTAGCACTGGAGAGGACTCAAAGGCTACTAAGGTTTGTGACTATCCCAGCTACATGAAGACTTAATCAAGTGTTTATGTTGATTCACAGATACAAGGATAACAAGCAGGGTTGACAGACAGGAGACTGTTGAGTACAAACTTGCTTGGATTTGTTTTACAAAATCGTTTTTGAAAGCACAGCTGGCCTACTGATTTTGTAGGGAAGTGAGTCATCTTTTGCAGTTTTAGGATAAGTTACCTTAATGAATCCAAATATCCATTTCACTAAATGTATTCTGCCCAGCAATCTTCCCATTCTTCATTAAAGTGTTTCCAACATATTTCTACCCAGTTCCTATTGCTCCTTATATATTAATATATTTGTTGAATACTATCTTTACAGCGCTCTAGAAAAAAATACCTGTTCATTCCTTAAGTTGAATAGTTACTTTTTACCATTATTAATCTGAACTGAAGGACAACAGTCAGTAAGTCAGGTCTCACATTAGCTAGTACCAATGGAGTTCAAATTAGTAATAATCAATCAAAATGCCAGTTACCTGTGAGCCAATTTCAGCACATCCCTGTCCAACTGCTTCAGCAAATTTCTTTTTGAAGATGTGGCCAAGACTTTCCACTCTTTTCAGGATACTATCCTTAGGGTTCACTGTGCAGTTCTAATAAAGTACAGGAAGAAGGAGAGAGGAAGGAAAGGCAAAGAAATAATGTTTTACTTCAAAAACATTTTAATGATTTAATCATAATAGTCCTCCTTCACTTTGTAACATCTCTCAATCATCTCATCAGCATAAATGAAAGTGGAGTATTTAAAAAAAGATAGAACCACTGTACACCGTCAACAATTTCCAGTAACTACAACTTCATGTCTCACATGCAACTAGCTGCAACTAACCCAACTAATATGTGAGTAGTACCACCAACATTAATGTCTTTAAAGCAAGAAATATGCTCAAGTTGCTGAATGTGGACATGAGATCCTCTGAGTACATTCTTCTTCCCTTTTTTGTGTCCCTTCTTTTTCCATCTGACGCATAAATAAATCTTAGTATTTAGTGCAGTAACAAAAAAAAAATAGTAACTTCTAAGGTTCCAGTACACATCAGTTAGACAGAAGTGCTTTCTAAAATGAGTAACTATATTTAAACCATCCCAATTAAAAAGTACTTCTTCAAAAAAAGGTTGTTAATAAAGAAGTTTCCCAAAACATGTGCCTCAGTTTTATAGGTGTATATTTCACTTGAGTGATAATTCCAAGAATCTTTCACAGATCTTTCTTATAGTCACTTACATTGAAATACCTGATGAGAGTATCTGATGGTTTATCAGGTGCTGAGTTTAAAATCATAATCAATTGCTGAATGTTATTCATTGCAGCTCTGGAAAAATACAATAAAATGCATAATAAACATTAAGGTTGGCTTGACAGTTTCCAGAAACTGAACAGCAATTCTACAAACAAGAACAAAAAAAAAATATGATTTCAGTTCTCACCCCAGTTATCAAACAACCTGCTGGAAAAAACCTGTTGTACTGTGTTAACCACTGGGAATTCTAATAACCTATTTTATCTAATAATCTAACTATCAGAATGATTACAATCCATAAGTAAATAACCAAAAGAACATAAATATGTAATAAACACTAACAACCACTTTTAAAAGCAATAAAATGGTGTAATTGCAATCCTTGTACATGAAAGTATTCAGCTAAATCAAGCAACTCCCTAACAAAAACACTCCTTTGCTTTTACACAAAAATAACAAAAAAGACTGGTGAATGAAGACAGCTTTTATGTTTCAAGTCACCTGTTCACAAGTGTAATAAGTAAGATGTATTAAAATATGTCAGCCACAAGAAAATACACCCTTTTTAACATAGATGCTTTTGAAAAACCCACATTTTTCAGAGGCAGAGCTGTCAACATTCCTATTGGCAACAGCATGAGAATACAGGGTCTTCTCCTTCTCCCTCCCTGAATCTGAACCCAATAGTCACATTAGACCTTAAATTCTTATTTTAACTCCAATTCCTTCTATTTCCAGTAGAAAGGCTACAATTTCTGTCATCCTTAATTCTACCTGCTGTATCTGCATCTGGATTAGAAGGATCTTAAATATAACTTTTTAAATTTTTAAGTATTACGTGTGGAGAAAAGGATGTGGACATTAAAGGAATTTTTCAGTGTTTCCAAGAAATACAAACTATATATTCTTAAAAAGTAGAACAAAAATTCTTTATTATCCAGATGAAAAGTAGATAGTGCCTCCACATACAATCTTACTGGCATTATTTTACAGGTGCAGAGTAAAAAAAGGACACACTGACATCAAACTATTTCTATCTCTACTTAATGCCTAGAATTTTCTTGCTAAAACCGCATTCAAAACCACAAGTAATATCCATTGATTCATATCCAATGCCTTAAAACAGAAAACTACTAAATCTAACACAAGCAACAGCAGTATTTCAGAAAATATGTAATTTAAGGAATTAAAAATACTTTAAAGACAAGTGCATAGGATCCTGTTGTTTATTCCACAAAGTTAAATGCCTTCTTAGGGTAAGTGTATATCTCTCTGAAGAAAGCATTCTTCAGTGTCTCTTCTAGAACTGAAATCCTGATGAGAAACATTTTTCATGACCTTCAGAAAAGTCATTATTTTAAGGTAACACAACATGGTCTCTTCTCAAATAGCAGGTATTATTCAGGAGGTGACTGAAATATCTATTGTTCTTATTTTCCCACCTATAATGATCTTGTCATATGAGACAAGAAGATGTGCATGAGCTAGCATATTAAGCAGCCCACATTTCCAACTTTTGGGGATATCATGTATTGTTCTGCCTTTATTATTTGCACATACATACAGAACTAATAATATAACTAGTACGTCCATAAGTACTAATGTGGTCTGGCTTTTTTTTTTAAACATATTTCAAGGTACGTATTAAGCAATAGCATTGTTTCTATTATTTTACAAAGGTTAGCATATTAATTTCTCTCCTAACATCTAAGAAACAGTTTGATTCTTCCAGTGGTATTGTTACTTTCTGAATTTTTAATTGTGGTTTTTGGTGGGGTTTTGTCTTTGTTTGAAACTTCTGTGCTATTTAACCTCAGTTTGGCTCGTATCACTCAGAAAATAAGCATAGAAAGAAGAGAAATATGTTCAACCAATACAACTGTACTAGTGCAAAGATGCATTTTGCTTTAATCTACTTTTTAGAAGGTTTTGCTAAAATCACTTCTGCCAAAACTCTACTAATGATAAAGAAAAGCGTAAGAGGATTGGAAAACACTAAAATGAAAACACACAACCCATTCTCATTATGCTCTGTACGAGTACTTACATCGATTTTATCTACTGCTTTCTATATAAATTACCAGATACAAATCCACTGATGAAAATTATTAGATTCTCATCAATTTCAGGGGGCTTTAGAGCAGATCCTAAGTGTCTAAGTCCAAAAATAAGACATTAACCAGAAGATTCAAAATAATAAGTATGGCACTTTCAACATAACCTGTAAAGGGTTGTACTTAATGCAGGGAGAGTTAACAATACACTTTCCACTCTATGCTGGTGATCAAAAGCTCACTGCCATCTAGTGACGGTTCTGTGGCTTTGTGAAAAACAGTTACTACAGCCCAAATCACTGCTGGTGAATAAATCTTCACTTGAACTGTCTTAAACGCCATCAGTTTTGGAAAACTCGGAGAAAAGCCCAAGGCTGGATGGAGAGAATTTAAATATCTCACTAGACCTCCTCTCAAGTTCAAAGTCGGTTTAGCACATTTCAAATTTTTAGCAAGACAGAAACTTGGTACTCCTGGACTTTCTTAATAAAACTTCCACGTCAAAAATAATAAAGCATCTTTCCCAGTGTTAGTGGGCTTTAAGTCTAGTATAATTAAAAAGTGGCAATAGTTATCTATATTTTTCAAAAATGGGATTTGTTACCAATTACTTTCTTGTTAAGTACACTGCGTGTTACAGATGGTCTAGTTCCTGATATCACACATTGTCTGGGAACTGAAAAGCAAACTGATGCCTTTATGGCTAAAAAAGCATCACTGGCAGTTAAAGATTTGAAGCATAAGACTAAAAGGAACCACTAAGGCAATCAAATAAAGGCTTTTGCAGTCACAGGCAATTAAAAGGTCTTTCATACACTGATCAATATCTATTTCAACTGCATATCTCCTTTGATTATTTTTATGAAGAACCTTTTCAGAACCTTGCTGCTCTGTAGGCTAGAAAACAATTAGATCTGCAGATGGCATAAAGAAGATTTATGGTGGATGCACAAGCACAGAGTCTAATTCATTGTTCCACAAGCATATAAACACTGTAGAAGTATTTTTAATAAAAACAACAATTTTACTCAGTTGAGGAAACTGAAGCAACAATTAAGGGTACGATATTTTAACTTCTCTCATCTCTACAGTATGCTAAAATGAAAGGCATTTATACAGCAAGCATGGAACAAGAACTTTACTGTCCAAATTTATCAAATCTGACAACTTGAGAATGACTGCCTGTGCAGACATTTCTCTGTTCGTCCATGCAGCACAGTGACACAGCTGGTTGGTTCTTGAGTATCCAGGAATTTCTAAGCACCATCAGGCAAAAACATACTGATTTTTTCAAAAAGCTGTGTGGCACAAGGGAAGAAATGGTACACGCAAATCTCCTTTCCTTTGGTTAACTGAATTCAAGCTTGCAATTTTTCTGCATTTGATTGTAGACCAAACGATCTCCAATTAATGTCACTTTTCTACTATATCTGTCTATTGTCCCAATAGACCAAAATATGCTGGCATTCTGAAGTGTTCACCTTCACAGTACAGGAAAAAAAAATGCTGGTACTCTGAAATTTTAATCTTCTCATACAGCAAAAATAATGCTAAGAAGATCATGGGAGAAGAAAGGTGTGTGAATATACAATCTGGTATCAGGAAAGGAAGACAGAAGATACAGAGCTCGAGTAAAGATGGGAAAGGAAGATGGAAGTATAGCAAACAAAAGTACTACCACGGAAATATAAAGTTGCATTCTCACAAGAACAAATACAGTAATCTATTTTACAGACATCTTGCACTTCTTAAACAACTCAGTAAAAAGCTTTCTCTGTTTTCCAGCAACTTCACCAGGAACTGAGGGCACTCAGCACTCCTCAGTGCATGCTCACTGCTCATTAGTGACCAGAAATACAGTCTGTTTCACCAAAAAAAAAAAAAGAGAAAAAAACCCAGAAAACCAGTCACTTTACAATTAAAAAACCACTGTAAAGGTGAATATTTCTTGTTAGGATATTAAACAAAAGAACACAGCTTAAAAGAAAAACTCATACCGAACAGGAGTCTGTGGAAGTATAAGTTCCTCATCTGGATTGTTTTTCAGTGGTGTCCTCTCCAACTGCGAGCTACAGAAATGGAAAACAAACTTATGAATAACTAACATAAATAAAAAAGGGTGTTTTCTATAAAGACTTACTAATCTGAAGAGAAAACTGTGGAACAGATTTTTAGAAGATCTAGATGTCCACCCACTCCAGTTGTTAGAACTACGTAATTTAAATTCCCAAGTAGATCTGCTTTGAGCAGGATGTTGGACTAGGTGACCTCCCAAGTTCCCTTTCAACTTTTTTTTTTCTAGAGTTTTATTTATAAATAGCTTAATTTACATGTACAGCTGGTATTAGCTCTATTTTAATCCAATTTTAAATTAATGTATTTTTCTAGCATAAATAAAGTCACAGACTCACATCATGAGCTCACATCAAGTTACGTAAATGTTGAATTGTCAGGAACTACGGGAATTTAAATGTATGACAAAAAAAAATCCAATAGAATCACAGAATAATAGAATAGTTTGGGTTGGAAGGGACCTTCAAAGGTCATCTAGTCCAAACGCCCTGCAATGAGCAAGTACATGTTCAACTAGACCAGGTTGCTCAAAGCCCCATCCAACCTGACCTTGAATGCCTCCACAGATGGGGCATCCACAACTTCTCTGGGCAACCTGCTCCAGTGTCTCATCACAAAACATTTCTTCCTTATGTCAGATCTAAACCTACCATCTTGTAGTTTAAAACTATTGCCCCTTGTTCTATTGCAAGAGGCTCTGCTAAAAAGTTTGTACCTGTCTTTTTCTTATAAGCCCCCCTTAAGTACTGGAAGGCTGCAATAAGGTCTCCCCAGAGCCCTCTCTTCTTCAGGCTGCACAACCCCAACTCTCTCCGCCTTTCTTCCCAGGAGAGGTGTTCCACCCCTCTGAACATTTTTGTGGCCCTTCTCTGGACCCACTCTAACAGGTCCATGACATCTCTGTTACTGAACAGCACCAGGGAATGTGCCTGGGCACTGGTACTCAACTGTTTATTCTGCTAAACCATCCGTGGCACATTTCTGTCCCATGCAACTACCACTCCTCAAACAATTTGTGGGTACAGGTCAGAAGTCAGAATGGGGTGAGGACCATTCCCAGCAAGCAGCTTCCAAATATCGCCATATGATTTTAGGAAGGAGCAGCTGGACAGTGAGGACCCAAGCCATTCCACACCAGCTGACCCCAGAACTGTAACACCGCCTCGGGCATACCTAATCAACTAGCATGACATGGCCTCGGCCTCCTTGTCCTCCTCACAATTCCTCAGCTTCCCCTGGATGACAGGGGCTTGCACAGAGTAAGAATTAGGGTAGAGCTTCCAAATCATTTTAGGCAGAGGCACAGTCATATGCTTTCTTATTATTTAAGTGATAATGTAAAGCAAGGTTGGCGATGCCAGAAATACCTTAGCTGAACTACAAACCTAAGAAGTCAACAGGATAGAGAGATCTCCATTTACAACACGAAGGGGCAGAAAACAATGCAAGTTCACATTTTCTATTACAAAATGAAAGCAGTAAATGGAAATATTACCATGCTATGACATCAGGCTGTAGAGTTTCATCATGATCCAGAAATAATCTTGCGTCTATGTCTTTGTTTTTGATATAGAGTTCATCATACTGTTTCGAGAGAACCTCAACCTCAAAAAGCATTAAAATAAAAAATTTATAGGAACAAGTTTGACAACTTACTGAATAATATAAGCTACTCCTACCTCATGAATACAATGCTGAAATGCTATGAGAATGACCTTGGAGCTCAAAAAGTTACTTCTCACACAACAGCTGAAAAATACCCAGAGGAAAACTATCGTTCCCACGTGCAAACAAAGATAACCTTTTATAAGAGAAAACAATCCAAGATCATGAGACTTTTTGAAGAAATGTAGCTCTTGACACTGGAAAAGAGCTAAAAATAGTTAGAGTGGGAGACATAGACCTGCAAATCAAACTAACATTTCCAGGCTTTTAAATATTTCCTTCCAGAAAAAAGAGGTGCCTCCAAGAGAAGGAAATGTAAATGACTGTCCTTAGAACAGCTGCCGGGCAATCAGCATGGTCCCTGTTTCTGGTGGTTTGGAGATGAAGGCCAAGACCCAAACCCAAACCTTCCTGTTCTGAGTGTAAAAAAAGTTTCCCCATTTCATATTAATATTTGTACTGGTGTAGTTCTTATGAGACATGCCTATTTCTACAAAAACATAGACCATTATTTCATATGCACATTGTTGTTTTTTAAATTACTGTTAAAAGTTTCTTAGTTGATTAGATCCCATATTGACATTACTTCATTTTGCACGGAAAAGTTATGTGGGTTTTTTTTTATTTTGAGTGACTAACATTAACTGAAAGTCTGGAATTTTTTATCAGGGCCAGATTGCTAGCCTCCGCTTCAAATCTGTTGCTGTGCTCCTGCAGAAGTAGGCAGGCACCTCAATTATCTGTTCCCTAAGCCCTTAAACATACTAAATGATGCTGTGCTTTGGTATATTCCTGCTAGAAAAACAGGCAACAGTCCATATGAACCCAAATTAGTCCCCTCTCAGCCCCAAGAAAAAGCAAGCTGCAAATACCTCCTACACAGCTTTGGTCTTCATCCTTTCCTTTTACCTTTGACAAATGAATTAGCTCCAAACTGATGTCATGGTTAAAACTTTGAGATTAGGACTATTAAATCAAAGATTATCTTTCCATTCCTATTACCACTATTTTTTTTTAATTAAAAATGTTCATTATCTTCCTAATGGCTTATGCATTATTTTTGTCTAAAACATTTCAGTATTTCAGAAACTTCTAGAAAATTCAGATTCTCCGTGCAAAAAAACAGCAGCTCTCAGACAAAATTATGAGTAGTCTGTACTGGGCTAACTGTGAAGAAACCTTCAGTCAAAAGTAAGAGTTCTGAATCAATCTGTTCATCAGTTCATAAACCCTGACCATCAAACACACATTGAAGACAAACGAAATACCAACATTAAGCCTCAAAAGCTTTTCTGGTCTTAGAGAGAACATTAAAATGTATCAAAAGCTCAGTGCTTTTTTAATGAAAATTAAAGTCAATTTAAATGTCCCATATTACTAGCTATTGTACTGATGATCTCAGCTATGACTGATAGCTTGTTGGATGACATATATGAACTGACTACCTCTGAAATATAGCTGTAACTTTCTGCTTTGTTTTAGAACATCCCCTCAGGCACTCAAGCTTCAGGAGCAAGGATCGTGTGACTGCATTTTTCTTCAAATGCACCATTTCATACAACTTTCACCAGCAGAGTCTTATACTGGTAATTTTGATACTATGCTTAAATTGAGCAGCCTTGGATAAGAACCCTAATTTATTTAAGAATAAGATGTATAACGGCCTTTGTCTGGAAGTTATTACAGGGCTCCCCAGCTACATAAACCCATAAATTAAAAAGTCTAAACAGACTGCTGATACCCTGAAATAAATTTTGGAATAAATTAAGATCTTTATTCTGTATTGTCTTGTATTTTGTCCCCCACCCAACACACTATGAAACTGAACATATACTTGGCTGATTTTGCAGACCTTCAGTCTGATAAGCCTCAGAACTGCTTATTTTCAGGTTACCCCATCTACTGGTGACACACAGCTAAACGTACTCTTTTAAGAATGATGGATGTAAATATATTGGAAGAAGTTACCTACTAAGGCGCACTCCTGTATGCGATTGCATAGAGGCACTCTGCTGCATCCAGGCTGCAACTCAGTAAGGTGAAAGTAATTCTGCATGGACACAGCAGTCCAAACTCTGCCAGTTTTGAAACTAAGCCTAATCTTTTTTGATATCTCTCCAGCATGACTACAGTAACAATTCTGAATTATATTTAAATTAAGGTGTGTCACTTAAGACTCTATGCATTTAGAGACTGACTTCAGAGACCTGATATTGTAATAGCTGTATTTTACATTAATGGCCTCACCAAGATAATGGATACGGAGGCAAATCTTATGTCATGTTTTGCTTTGAGCAAACGCACCAGTTCAGTCTCAGGGAATTAATTTATTAAATTCAAATGTAAAAGCTAAATATATTCCATGAATACTGGAATCCCTGCTAAGCAACATTCCTGGAAAACAATGCATTTTGCTAGATGATGTTAGAAGAACCTATTAAAACTTCATCAATGTGTAAAGGGAATCTTAAGCAACTTGGCATGAACTAAAGTACTGTTGTTGAACTGTCTTAAATTCCTCCAATTACCTCTGGTAGTCCATTTGAAGCTACAATACCAACAGAATTCAAGAAAGGAATAAAGCTTGTAAAATACACATTTTTGACCTAAAAAAGAAGAAAAAATGTAACATTAGCAATGACAGAGGCAACCATGCATACAGCGCTTTCACGTCTTTAAATGAAGAAACTAAATGAGACACTTTACTAAAGCAGTGGGTTTTGTTTTCAGTAAAGCAAAAAAGAAATTGCCTACATATCCAAAACATAGATATGTAGGCATGCAGTGCGTAATCCATTGCTGGAACATCAAATTAGTAAATTGGGAAATAACTGCACTCTTCCCATCCCTCCATCATCTACTCGGATATTCAAAAATCAATCCATTTTACACAGGAATAGATTTATCACCAAAGGAAAAGGGGAGTGGGGTGTTTAAGGTCCTACACAGAAGCAATGTGTGTGTTGTGTACATTTTCTCATCATGGGATGCAGCTGTGAAACCCCATCAGTGCAGCCCTGCGTCCATACGCTACATGCTGTGAGTCTATACCTTTGTACTGCATTCTTTGCAATTCAGTTCCCTGGCAAAGTTATCACCCAGACCAAAGGGCTTGTTTGGGGGGGTTTGGGGGTGGGTTTGTTTGTTTGTTTTAAATTACCTACTAGAGAAACTGGAATGGTAGAATACCTTCACTACTGAACTTGAGAGAATAGTTAAGCAGGCAGAAGTATTGATATCTAAAAAAGACCATTTAAACACATGCATATTCCAGATGGGGTTGAGCAGCAAGATCTAACAGACTTTAAAACACAGGCTTTACCTCATCTAAATTACAATCATGCTCCTTACAAAGGACTTCAATAACTTTTGTATCGGTATCAATTGGCTTTGAAGTACGTGTACTCCTGTTCTGACCTCTTCTTGGAGTTTGAGCTGAACCATTAACAGTCACTGCAGTCACAGCAGACTCTGAAAAGATAGTCAGAACCATCACAAGGTTAGAGTCGCCTCAAGAAAGAAGAGATTTCAATTTTTAAACCTTAAAGATTTAAAATTTTATGATTTTTCAGGTCCTCTTGCATATTTCCCTTTTCATCTCTTCAGCTGGGTAAGAAACCTTAATTACAGAAAACATATATAAAAATAAAACTAATTTTTATATTCCTGTATCAGTATTTGGACATTTCGGTTTTAAAAAGCTATTCAACACAGAATGTAATAGCACTTTTAAGCTCAAAGTAGATGGCTTCAATATTGTCATCTTGAAATATGTGAATTATATTAATAACATATGTTAATAATGTTAAATCTTGTCGGTTTAAAATTGACACTCTAATCAGCATGCTGTTCTCATTTGTAATTTCATCTGTATTTGACAACTGTTCTGAGAAAATCTGACAAACTACACTGCTTGAGTAGTTGCATCTTAATCCCCTCAACCTTAGTCAGATCATAAAGCTTGACGTCGTTTAGCACAATGTGAAGCCTCTTGGTCACGAGGATTTGAACAATACATCACTTTATTTGCTAAAAGAACGAAGCACTGTTTGACAGTTTACATGGCACCTGAACTATCACAGCTTCCAGTTAGAAATCTAATGCTCTACACTTAAGACAGTGATACCCATATTTGCAATTTAGTCTGAAGTGGCAGTGTTCCTTTTCAAGATACAATGCACAGAACCAAACTGCATCTAACAATGAGCTCCTAAGTCTTCATAGTTTCACTTAAACAAAAATAAACCTGTGCAAACACAGATGTCAAAACCAGGTAGTTTCAATTCAGTGTTCTTTGAAAAAAGATCTACTTTGTAACATCTGAAATAAGCAGTAGCATATGTCTGTCCTACTATGAAGGATAAATTTAAATACAAAGTAGTACTGGAGGAGGGCAGAGATAAGCTTGCCACAAGCCCATCCTTTCCTACCCTTTATTTGTATTGGCATTAGAACAAAAACAAGGTTATTTGTTCCTACCTGCAACAAATAATTACTAGGTCAGATAAATATCCTCCAAAACACAGAATTTAAAGAATATAGCAGTGAATACATCATCTATTCTACTACATTATAGCCCAAGTGGATAATTAGTCATGAAACAAAGAAATAAAGCAAGTAGATTTAAGCTGTAAATACTAGGGTCACATCCAAACTCAGCAGAGGATAAACACAACTAGTATCAATTAGTATTGTGGCTCCAAATACTTCAGCATTATCAGTTCCACGGCTTGCAAAAGAAAATATTCAACAAAAATAGAATTCTATCTTTGAAAGTTCCCATAAACATTTACTTTCCCTGCCTTTTTAGTGAGGTTTTCCAGGTTTTGGGTATAAAAACTGCATGTACAAAAAGTTACTGCTAAACAGAAATTTCTATAGTGAAGACCTGTTGTATTTTTACTTAAAGAAGAGACACTTGCTAATAACAAATGGGATGTAATAAAAGCAAAGCTATCTACATTTTACTTATACCATTTTATTTTGAGGTGCCACTATCATTAGGTTTTCTGTCCACCGTATATTTAATTTAAATGTCTGTATAGTCCAGTATCTTGTACATTTCTGTTGTCACCATACTGTTATATGTCAATTAATAACAGTCATAGCACCATCTCTTCCTTTTGTAACTCAAAGCAAACCTAAATAATAGTTCTCAGTCGTCATCTACCCAGAACCTGAATTCTTTTACCAAAGTAACACTGCTGTTTTAACAAGCCCCTGAACAACGTGTATGAGCAGAAGAAATAGTAAATGGATGGCAGGAACAAAAAAAACCAAATTATATTAAATACACTGCCACATTTGGATAATTTAATTCAAATTCACTATAATCTAAATTGAACTAACACATCAAAAAATCAATTTTAATAAGCTTAAGAAGTTTCATTATGTTAATTATGAATGTTAGCATGACTCTAATAGAAATTTAACCAATTTACTTTCTACTTTAGTGAATAAGAAACTAAAATCCTTACTGTATGGTTCCTTGAGCATAGCAGGAGGTGACAGTTTGATAAAATAATCTAAGACACACAGCAACAACTGGAAAGAAATTACCAGGTCATCTTCCACTTGTAACACTTTACCTGCAAACATTTAAAAAGGTAAGAAAACCCTTTGTGAGACATTTGATTTAATTTTAAAAGTAACTTTGAAAAAAAATAAAGATTTGGCAGTTCATTTATTAAAACACTACAATTCAGAAAGCATCATATAAGGTGCCAGTGTTCTTTAAAGGCTACTGATTTTAAAACTCATGGTTCTTAAAAGGTTTCTTGCTTTAGAGATAGTATACACACAAATAAATTTACTGTGTACAAAATTACTACCTCTCAGTGTTCCTTCCTGATTTTTCATTTTACTATAGTGGAGTAACTGTGTTGACTATTTTACCTACATGTACCTCTTATTTCTGTGCAATTCTTTCTCGCTTTCTTTTTTGTGGTCTTATGCAAGCTTTGTGAAAGCTTCTAAGGATTCAGAAAGCAGGAGCTGCTATTATACAGTGAAGAGAAATTCAAAACGTGCTACCACACCATATGCTCAGCCTGGTAAATTTTATATGAAATAACTTAAAAGTCATACAAACATTAGCATGAAGAGCACTTTTAAAACTACGTTATTCCAGCTGTTCACAAATTATGATTTGTATGCCACATGAGATCTACAAGGCCATTCAAAGATGGCATCCATTGCCATGAAAGATTTGAAAAGCCAAGAGCAATTCAGAACAGCTACGAACCACTACTTATACTCTACTTACACATAGAATTTTTTGTATTTATTTTCTATCAGAATTCGCAAGCATCACCCAGGCTCTGGTGACTTCAACTATTTGTTGGTAAATTGTAGCTTTCCTTAATCTCAATGAAAAAGCAGGCTAGAAAAACTTTGGGGGTTTTGTTTTATGCTTATGCTTAGAGAATCCTAGTGAAAAAGCTCCTTGAAGCTCAGCTGATTCAAGACCAACTTTGATGACAGAGATGCGTACACTTTGCTGCTAAGACAGACCTAGAGTAGGGAGCAAGTAAGACACTCAATTTACTCTTTTTTGTAGGAATAGTACAATGAGACAGAACTCCATGGACTACTGTAATTGTTTCATCACTCAGCTTTAACTGGAACTTCAGCCTTTTCAAGGAAGAATTGTAGTATACATAATTTCAGGGTATTATTATTTTACAATAACATTTTATTATTACTAAAGTTAATTTATTTATATTTTTAGATATAGCCTCTTACTAGCTACTATGAAGAAAGTTGCCTCTGTTGCAGCCGAAACCAGGACAATTTATAATATTTTAGCCTATTAAAAAAATTCTGACCATTATTAAAATATTGGCAGACTATAAAGCACCTCAGAATAGACTCAAATGCAGAATACCAACACTAAAAAAAAATCTTATAAAGCTTAAGAAAAGTATTTATATACACATAAGTAACAGAAGTTAAAAGAATAGACAAATTGTATAGAAAGAAATATTATGAGAAGTTACAAAAGCCATACAATCAAAACATTCTGGGCTTGTGCTATGGACATTTGTAATAAGGATCCCAGTCTCATACTGGACACATAAAACAAACCTATGAACTCACTCAACAACATTCATTAAAATAACTCTCTTGTAATCAAAACTCACCTTTTGCCAGCAAAAAAGTAATCCAGTAATTTTTTAAGACTAATACAGAACTGAGTTCAGCAGAAATCCTGTAGAGACACAAAAAAATAAAGTCTTTGCATTAACAGCTTTGTAATAATTTAAACTATAGTTTTTGAAAACATGCTTCAGTCTATGGAACAATTTCAGACCATAGGCGACCTTTCCCATATAGTTAAGTTTAGTAATTATTTCATACCATTCCCTACTTTCCCCTAACTTGAAAAAATTAAGCTTCTGTAATGCCATTTAAGAATCTGGAAATATCTGTATCATCCTTGGAAAAGAAAGTGAATGTGGATAAATTCACTTAACTGTTATGACCTGTTTTCTCTCTTGTGCCTTTGACTAATGTCCTATTCTCCAGTCACAGCATGAACACAAGCTCATTTGGGAGCTGCTAAGGCATCTTTTCATCCATTCATTTGTTGCTGTGATTAGGAAGCTCGCTCTCCAAATGTTCATTTTCACCATGTCGAGACACCGGCCATTGGGTGGTGATGCTCCATGGAGGAAGTGATGAAATATATATGTATATGTCTATATATCTATATCTATAGATATCACTCCTGCAGCTTTCATAATCTCTCACTGAAATTCAAAATTCCCACTAAATACAAATTAAACACAACATACTATGACTTAGGTCAATCTTAATGGGCTAAAAAATAAAATGCCAACACATTTTACATCTTATCTTGACAAACACGACTTAGGAGAGTCAAACTTACTCACTACTAGGTTGTTCCAGATAAATAAGGCCACAAGTCCTAGAAAATAAATATATTTTTTT